TAAGTTAAGTGGATGTCTTCTTTTTATGGCCACCTCCTGTTAATGAAACATGTGCTGCCACTAAAGATAAAGCCAGCCTTTTAAGGTGTTGATTTGAATGATTGTCACACTTTTCAGCTCAGTTTATTAACAGAGTGGAACTCTTCCTGTTGTTACAGAAAATTATGGCCACTCTCTGGAAGGGACTTCCAGTGGAAACATTGGCTGTGTAGGGCCTATGGAAATAAAACTATGTAACAGCACAGTTGTCCTTTTCTAAGATCCTTTTGTTTCTGTGGGTCTTTAACAGGAAAAACAATCCTGGTGGATTTAATTCAAAGACTTCTACAATGTGCACTAGCCCAGCTTGTATTGGTTGAAGCTACTGTTCCTTCAAAGGTGGAAAGTTCTTGGGAATTTATGTATGTTTTTATTATTTTTAATGGCCTTTTCTTTTCAACGAACCCAAGATAACTTGGGTTCTCTTGGTCCTCCTGCCTTGCTTTTATCCTCAGAATGACCTTGCGAGAGTCAGTGACTGGCCCTAAGTCACCCAGTTGGCTCCATGGCTGAGTGGGGACTAGAAACCAGATTTCCTAAGTCACAGTCCAATCCTAACCAATACAGCACACTGGCATTGATGGAATCCAGGGCATCTTTCCACCGTCAGTTTCTTTTCTGTAGAGGAAAGGCAGGCAGTGTGTGCCACAGTGTTTTTATATACAAATGTATTATTGAAAACATATCGTGGGAGTCAAGAAGCAAGCAAACAGAAACAGCAGATAACTTTTTCTTGTAAATAAACCAATTCACTACATGCCATATGTTTCATCAGTGCTTATATTGCAGCAATGTATGTCAACATGACCACTGAAAAAACTGGATTGGATTCATACATTATGAAATGTTTAAAAACCCATTCTAAATTTAGGGGGTACAATAATTTTGAAACAAAACTGCTCTTGAATTACTTGTTTATGTAATTCAGTAATGACTGAACAAACCCAACAGACTGGTATGTAGAGAAAAATGTCAACATACTACTTATAGTTTATAACTGGCTTTAATAAATGAATTAAGGAAAGCAATTTAATGGAATAAGAAGGTATGTAAGGTCAGGATGAAGATGCTGAACTGAATTATGCTGATGTTTGCTTTGTTAATAGAACTGAAAAATCCAGTTAATAAACCCTATAAAGAGCTAACACATTGAGTACTGATATTGTGGAGGCATCTGGTTAGATAAGCCTAAATTCAACAGGGTAAAGAACTAAAGGAAGCTGAATAATGCAAGGAAAAGTTTTGGTTTAGAACAATGTGGCACTTTCTCAGAGTTTTTTTTTAAGGAAAATGGAGGAGCATTTGCCAATGGTGCTTTAGATTTATGGTATCGTAATTCCCATTTTATACTAAAAAATGTTCACTCGTGAGATAACTTCAGAGGGTTTTTTCAAAAAATGACAGTGAAAACGTTTAGTCTGGGGTATGCCACTTGGTGAATGTTGTTAATGTTGAATAATAAATGGAAAAGAACCATTTCAAACCAGGTATATATTTTAGCCCATTACTTTTTCATTTGATTTTCTGACATGGGAAATGCAAAACACAAAAACCAATTTAGCTGTCACTTCTGAAAACTGCCTGGCTCTTGGAGACCACTCCTATTAGTTGCTGATTTCCCTTATATGAACAGCAGTGCTAATTAAGGTCCGGTTCGCTATGGGAATAAATGGAAGTCTGCAGACTAGGCCAAGAGAGCATAAGCGGTCACATTCTTCTATAATGTAGCTTTCAAACCCTTAAATGCCGAGATGTGAGGAATCCGATGGCTTGCAGGAATGAGGATTCCTCCTTCCCTCCTGTATGAAGAGCTTTTTTCTTGTCATTTAATGAATCCCATGTAATTGCTGGTTTGCTGCCACCCTTTCCCTTCCCGCTGCAAGCAATCTAATCTATTCAAGGGAAGATAATTGTAGGGCTCTTTCGTCAGGAAAGAAATGGCCATCGCTCACCACTGTTGTGCGCCTCCAGCTGTGAGGCAGAGTTGACAGCAACCTTGCATAGTGAGCAGTAGAGCAGCCGCTTGGCCTTCTCTTCCTCGGTCTCTCCCAAGGCGCACTGGTGGCTGCTAGTGGCTGCAGAGGGGAGCTTTTCAACCGTCGAGGTGATCTCAGTTGTCGTGATGCTGCTCTTCCGAATTTCGACCATTGTGGTTGTGGATATTGCTGGTGCCTCGGTTGTAGTATCTGCTTTAAAGGGCAGAAAGAAGAAAGCATGAACACCAACAGGACTTTTAATCCAGTGTGGACTTATACATGTGTAGTGGGGACGGACTTGAAGTGGAAAGAACCCAGTTCTAGGGAAGGGAGTTCACAGCAGAAGCAGTGTGATGTCAACACCACAGGAAAGACGTGTGCTTTCTGCGTTCGTAATCTGGAAAAGTGCTCCTGTCCAAACCCTCCAGAAGTCCCTCTTATGGGTCATCCTGGGAACTAAGGAGGATGAGAACATGATTTGCGTATTTGTGCATCCTTAGGCCCAGATGCAAAACTGCATCGCTTACAAAAAAAAATCAAGACTTGCAGTCTTATCTGGCTGCTCCGTAGAAGACGGAGTTACTGGATTCCATCGAAACATAGATTCTGTGAGGTATTTTTTAAATAATCCTGGGTTTGCAGGATATATTTGAACATTCCACAAGAAGAAGGAACCTTCCACAAAGTATAGGTCTATGCTACTCAACACACTGAGGGGACTCTTAGAAAAGGAAATGGTTGCTAAAAGCTCTAGGGAAAATTAGACAGGGATAGGTCAATGATAATGTCATCAAACATGAAGAAACAATGTCCAAAGACCTGCATAGAAGTGCACTGACCAGAAAAATACATCTAAATAGGTGTTGAGGATAGATGCTACCAAATAAATAAATAAATAAATAAATAAATAAATGAATAAATAAATAAAGCAAGCAAGCAAGCAAGCAAGCAAGCAAGCAAGCAAGCAAGCTGATCCATTGGTGAAGTCCATTATCTTTGTAATGTCTGTATGTGTATATGAATGAAGCTCCCACTTCTAGAAGCTGTTTCTACTCAACTTTCAGGAACCCCAGCCCTCTCAATTGCCTGAAAAACATTGTCCCCATTCATGTCCCCTGACCTTCTGTTTGGACTACAGCAGACTCCCTTTTCACCAGCCCTATTTTTTATACATTTAATCCATGATACTTAAGTAGGAAATGGAAATTTATATTTGAGAAACACATGCACAAAGGAGAGAAATAATGATAATGGTAAAAAAAAAACATTCTGAGACTACAACTGGCTAAAAGAAAATTTTCTGCCTTATCCGATGAATTTTGTAACAGGGTGGCTTTTGTTTGGTTGGTATTCAGAGCAGAACTACAACAGGAGAGAAATCATATAAAGTACAGGTGGGCTTTTAATTGAGTTCCCCTCTATGCTCCAGGGAAATGGCTTGTCCATAACATTGATTAATTAAATTATTACACTTTAAAATCAAGATTTCCAAAATGGCCAACAAGCAATGATACAAACTATGATAGAACAAACCAACACTGCAGGTACAAGAAGTCTGCAGAGCTACACCAGAACACACTGAAACAGCAATTAGAAAATAACTAGGAGGACCGAGCAGATACAACATTATTAATCTACTTCCTAAAACAAATCATCATCAGCAATGGTTTAGCAGCCCATGCAAATAGATATGTTGATATGTAATCAAGATCACATGGAAGGCATCAAGAAATATCCCTCTGTCTTAAAAAAAGACTTTGGAATATGAGTTCAATTAGGATAAGGTATGCTTTTTGCAATTGTCCACCTTGTCAAAGAAATCAGGGGACAATCTCACTGAATTTCACTGGGAGAGGAGATTTCCAACAGCAAAAATCAGTGAATGACTGTGATACAAGAATGGAACCAGACTGTGCTCTCTTTCCTAGTCAAGGTATTGCTGCATCTCAGAATGGCTGGTGGATTTTTGATTATGTCTAATTCAGCAAAAAAGTTGTTATGTCTATTGGCTACCCTGTGTTTTTAATAAGGGTTTGTCTGTTTTGGGCACCTGTTGGTGGTGCAATGCAGCTAATGCTTCTCTTGCCCATATGTTTCGTCCATGTCCGATGGCTGCCACTATTTGGGAGGAGTACAGTAATACAGATAAATGTTGTGAAGGAAAGCTCTGCAATATTTATTGATGTCATGCATGTCATTCTCAGTTATCTACCTGCTTCTTGGGACTTAATCCAAGGTCAACATAAATGAATTCTCCATGCCCTTTTGACAGCTAAAAGGCTAATATTACTACATCAGAAGGACAAATGGACACCTTCAATAATACACTTGGCTGAGGACTTAAGGATGCTTTCTGTTTTTGAATGGGTGAGCTATAGGCATAATCTACAAATGGAGAAAGTTATGGGTAGTTGGTCTGCCTTTGTAGAATGCTATGCATAATTATGCCTAAGAATAGTTTTATATCTTGTGATATAAAAACAGACATAAGAATATGCATTGCATATGCATCTATTGTGAGGGATATATTCAAATTTTATTCCAGAAATAAAGCAGAGACATCACCCTGCCAACAAAAGTTCGTATAGTCAAAGCTATAGTTTTCTCAGTTGTAATGTATGGCTCTGAGATTTGGACCATAAGGAAAACTGAGTGCTGAAGAATTGACACCTTTGAATTGTGGTGCTGGAGGAGACTCCTGAGAGTCCCATGGACTGCAAAGAGATCAAACCAGTCAAACATAAAGCAATCAACCTGACTGCCCTTTAGAAGGTCAGAAACTGAAGATGAAACTCAAATACTTTGGCCACCTAATGAGAAGGAAGAACTCACTGGAGAAGACCCTGGAGCTGGGAATGATTGATGGCAAAAGGAGAAGTGGCTGGAAGAGGTTGAGGTGGCCAGATGGGGTCACTGGGGTGGTGGGTGTGGGCTTGGGTGGACTCCAGGAGATGTTGGAGGACAGTAGAGCCTAGAAGAATGTAGTCCATGATGCGTCGGACATGACTTTGCAACTAAACAAATAACAACAATAAAATGCCAGAAAACTGTTATGTTACTTTCTTTTTTCCTAAGTATCTTCATGACCCCACTGCAAGTTGTGACAATATCAGCTGTTTTGCCAGGCTGGTCCACATTTTGCCTCTACTATCATGCATGAACATGCAAGGACAGGCAGTGCTGTGCCCAGTTCCAGGAAAGAAGTGAAGCTAGTGCTGAGCAAAATCTGTCCTATTTTTCATATGTTTTCTTCTCCCATGAAAGAGGATTCCATTGTTCTGCCTCATGCTTAAGCTCTTTTATCATTTATTTTAATAAAGTTTTTAGATTGTTCAATGACTGTAAGGTGACTGTATTTACTTTCCATAACACATTTTTATGTTGGCTTCCAGGTTGCCTGCATTTGCTTACTGGAAAAAGCCCTTTGAGAGGAATTTGCTCTTGGTGTCTTCCTTAGGCTTTCATTGTCCAAAAAACTTCCCTACACATAGTTCAGCTGAGCCCCTGAAACAAAATAAGGTTTTTACTGAGAACCTTTGGGTTTGCAGAATAAAATCCTGTGGGAAAGAAGTGAAAGGAACCATAATTATCAGGCATGTTAAAATTAGTTGCAACAAATTGTTCACAAATATTCTATTGGGAACTTTCTGCAGCAGCTAAAATAAAATAGATTCCTGCCTCATACTGGCAAGGCCTAGGAAAGTTTTTGGGTTCTCTCTCTTCTTTTCATTCTGTGATCTTCCTTGTGGAATTTTTAGTCCTACAGTTTCAACATGATTAAAGTTTAAGTCATCTCTCCATGCAGGGAGACAATCAGCTCTAATAACCCTAGAGGTGAAACAAAAATTGCCTCTATAGGCAGGAGATATAATCATGCAGTGTAATTAGAGTAGTCAGTCATGCTCTCTGGGGGAAAGGTGTGAAGTATAGTAAAAGGAGAGAGAATGGATAATTTATTCCTCCCTTAAAACCTCACCCTGCCTTTTCCCATCTTTCTGTTGCTTGATTAATTCATTTGCTTAACGCAATTTGACACTTAGAAGCACCTGCCACAGGAAAAAATAATTTTGACAAATGTGCATTAAAAATAGGGAGGACATTAAAAATAACAGTCCATGGTCCAAACAGCAAATATAAGATCCCTGTCCCTTTGGATGGACAGAGCAAAAGAAAGAAAAGAAGAGGCAGAGGTATCGCCAACCCAACCATCAAATTCCATAATTCCATATCATACAAATGTTTTACGAATGACAGGTTTTCAGAGAGAAGAAGCCACATCCAAATATCTGTTATATCAATGGGTTTCTCTTCTAAATTTGGCATTCATTCAATGTGCATTTTGATCAAGCCATTTGTTTCTATAGATAGGGGTGTTCCTTTAATTTGGAGTTCAGCCTCTTGTACTTTTGATTTCAGGGCAAATAACAAAACACTGTATTGTTGGTCTTTTGGCATCAGATGTTTTTGATAAGTACAGTTTTGATAAGTAGCTTTCATACAGTTGGGTGGTGCTTACAAGATAGAACTGCACATCGAAAGGATGGACTACACGGACCTTTGGTCTGATCCAGTGTGGTTCATATGACTGGAATGTAGCGTCCATTCTTTTATTTTATTTTTATTTATTTTTTGGCTTTGTAGCTCAATTTACCTCCAAGAAATTTTGAGCAATAACTGAGCTTCTTGACAACTCCAGATGGTTTTGTAAGTGAGCAGGGAAATCAACTTGACCTTCCCACATCAAACCTGTGTATTATGTTCCAGCCTGCATGCAGGTATATTTCTAGATGGATTTTAGAGAATTGAAACAAAAGGAAAAGCCCTAGAAACACAAGGCAAAGCATTTATTTAGCTTCATACAAGCCTTTTTCCTCTTAAAGAATGTTCTGTGCAAATGCAGAAATAATAACTATACTTTTCAATCTTAAAATCAATCACAACTAAACTGTATTTAAACTAAAATAAGTTAGTCATGATTCCCTTTAATTTCAGTGACATTTAGGCTTTGGACCTATGCTTCCTAATATGTCAGCTCATTGAGAGTGATAGGAGTACAAGTACATAAGGCTGGACTGAATGACTAAGCTTAGCTAAATCAGATAAGGATCTATAAGAACTATTGCAAAGGACACTTGGCCTCCCACATACCTCCTGATCTGAAATTCAAACATCTAATATCTTGAAATGAGAACAAAAGATTGACAGTTATATTA